GGTCGCCTTTTCTTTTGCTGACGTCTGGCTGAAATTAGGATGAGGCAACGAGCGTGTTCCTGAAATGGACCACGTATACAGAGACGCAACTGTGGTGTATTTTGAGGTACGATATTTCGCATGTCTCTGTAGCGACTTGTATGATCTGCCAGGGCATGATGGAATGAACCTGCCAGGGCATAGTAGATGGGTGCTACACGCGCTCCCAATCATGGAATGACCGTCTCGTGGCTGACTCGTTTGTTCCGTTCAGGCTTGGTTTTTACGCCGTAAAAACTGATCGTATTTACGTTTTTACGCGTAAAAACAGTTTCTACGTTTTTACGCATAAAAATACGTAAAAATACGTAAATGCAACGTAAAAACTGCCCGTTGTACATAAGGACAGTACATACGGAGTCCAGAGAGTGGCAGCCAGACGCCCTGGAAGGGGCATAAAACGAGTTTTTGTTAAGCACCGTCATCGCCCTTGCCAAGGGCGAGGTGGACACTGTGTTGCGGGTGTGATATAGCGGAGGCCTGATCATTGTGCGGAGCTTTCATCGTGTAATCTAGGCGTCCGAGGGAGCCGTAAAAACGTAAAAATAGCCATAAAAATAGGCCCTTTTGCAAATTTACGTTTTTACGTGTAAAAACGTAAAAGTAAAAACATAAACTCAAACGTAAAAACCAAGCCTGGTTACGTTGATTCTAGAAGCAGGCGGCATTTGTGGATTGTCGTCCAAGTTGCATCCCTTATGAACCCTCTGATCTCCTTGGTCGACCCTTTACCCTTTACTGCTTCCTCTATGCTCCGGAGCCCTGAGGCAGCACCGATGATGATTGCTCCCATTGGCCTGAAACCATCTCTCCGTACTTCCCTCAGACAGGTACTTCCACGATGACTAACAGGATCGTCAAGGCTGGGCGGGATCCCCAAGGTTGAGCGAGGAGCGTCAAGGCTGGCGTGGATCGTAAAGGCCAGGACTGGATCTTCAAGGCCGGGATTGGAACATGAAAAGGAAGATTTGGATCATTAAGGCTGGTCGTGTGAGTGATGCTGATTGCATTATTTCTTTTGCCTTATAAGGCAATAGAATCAGTCACTCCTAATTAGGAGTGACTGATTCGCTTGGGAGTATCAAAGACCTTTCGAAGTATTTCTGCCTTACCGGTCTCCTTCAACCCCCCCCGTGTTCCCCACACGACAATACATTACAACACACAGTTGGGTGTCCATCACCTCACTAAACAACAGTAACCCAATTGGCGACCCACTTGAAAGTGCCCTCGCTTCGCATAGTACTTAATGCCACACTGATGGTGACTCATCCCAGAGTCAGTCCCCCTCCTCTCGTACTCAGCTCCCTCTCCATCCCACAGCTAAACCGAACTCACACTATTAGGGTGGGCCGGGCGGGTGCAAAACAAGATAAGGGGGGCGCCACGGGTTGCGCCTAAAATAGCCGCTCCCACTTGCCGCCAAACTCCCCGCCAAACCCAAGGGCCAGCTTGACCGGTCCCCTTGGCTGCGCCCAAGGTACAAGGATCCACTCCACCGCCCTTGGGTGCGTCGGGCAGCACTGACCCCGAGTACAGGGGTGACAGAAACCGGCTGATGGATGGTCCAAACTATCCCAAAGGGCGGAACGGCCTGACCCGGCCGTTGCGCGCCCACCCAATCGTCGTCCTAGGCAGAAACTCATTAACAGGATAGTTAATTCTATTTCTGCCTTACCGGTCTCCTTCAACCCCCCCCGTGTTCCCCACACGACAATACATTACAACACACAGTTGGGTGTCCATCACCTCACTAAACAACAGTAACCCAATTGGCGACCCACTTGAAAGTGCCCATTCACCCTGGGGCACGGTGCAGCTCCTCGGGAGCGAAGGCGTGGTCATGCCTTGGTCACACTCGGGCCGATGACGCCCCTCCGGGGCAAAATAAGTGCCCGTACTGGGCGTGAAGGTCGCGCGCCGTAATCGTCATCCAACCAAAGAGCCGGTAGTCCCACTCGGACGGTAGCCGGTACACATCGATGTACTTCCAGATGACGTTACTCCGCCACTCTCCCCACGCGCGGATGCGCCCCTCCGGCACCTCCAACGAGTAGCAAGCGCTGGCGCCACCCGCCCGAAGACCGTGATGGTCGAAGGGGTCGGGCGGCGGGGAGGGGAGAGCGCGTAGGAGGTCGGGGAACCAGCCGGAGACGGTCGGCGCAGACGGATCGGGCTCCCCCGGCAAGGTATAGAAATGGCGCGGGGAGGCGCCGGCATCCGCCCACGCCTTATCGCGGGCCGCAGACCAACGAAGAAAAAGGTCCACCACCGCGGGCGGCTACGGAAGGCGAGGCCCGGCGCGCCGCCGGTGGTGGAAAGCGGCCCGAGCAGTCCATGGATTGGCCGAGGGGAGGCCATTCTCGAGGCGGAGGTCCTCGAGGAGAATGAGGTGGCCGCTCTGCGCCCGATTGAAGAAAATGAAGTCTAAGGTCGCGGAACAGGCCGCGCGGAGGAGGCGGAGGTCGTCCGTAGACATCCCCAAAGCCAGGACGGCGAGCATCACGGTGGTAGGCACCGGGCGATGGGAATGCGCCGGCTCCGGAGCGGCGCGCCTCCACGCCCGGGTGAGCCGACGGGTGACGGCGTCGAAGGCCGAGAAGTCCAAATGGCCCATCGATTGGTGGACCATTGAGATCGCCGCCAGGTACTGGGGAAGACTCCGCACGCTGACACGGCCCTCCTCCCGAAGAAAGCGAATGTAACGGTAGATCGACGACGGTCTCGCGGGCAGCGCCACGAGGTCGTTGGTGGCGCAGAAGGCCGCGAATTTGTCGAACTTGGAGTGCATCCCCCGCCGCGTAGACTCCGTATAAAAAGAAAGGAACTCGGCCTGCATCCAAGACCGATCGGACGCCGAGAGGCCGTCCACCTCGCAGCCGAACAGCGGGTGATCCGACGGCATGTCCTCCAGGGGAAGAGGGTCCTCCACCGGCGAAGCTGCGCTGGAATCGGGCGTCATTGTCCCCGCGTCAGAGTCGGATCTGTGCCTGCAGCGCGCGCCAGGATCCTTCGAGGCCGGTGCCGCGATGCTTCGCGTGCACCTGATGGAGGCGCAGTTGGTCCACTTGCCGCTCGGTAATGGCCACCGATGCGTAGACGTATGGCAGGAGGAGGTCGCGGATCGATTGCGGTAGACTCGGGTGGGCGACCAGGTCGACGAAGGCGGCCGTGTAGTCGAACTGCCACGCGACCCACGGCGCCCAGCTCGCGTACTCCTGGAAATAGCCGGAGTTGGGGCCGAGAGCCGTAGCAACCGTCTGGCCTTGGCCCGTCTCCCGTACGTCGAACCAGGCGGGAAAGGACGTGAAGTCCGGCCTGGCGACCCGGTTGTTGACTGACCGGGGGAGTAAGCTGGGGTCGGAAACCCACGTGAGCTCTATGGGTCGGTCTAGTAGGCGCTGGTTGAAACGAAGCGCCTGTGCCCGCAGCCACTCTTCGGCAGGGCTGGGGTTCATACAGAAAGAACTCGGCGCAAAGGCCGGAGGGTCGAACTCCCTGCAATGGTTCGGGTTCCAATATAAGGTTGAAGTGAAAGCGAAAACAAGATAAGGCGCCCGCAGATTTACTTTGCCTAAAATAACCCAGCTGCCGTAAACCTCCTCAGGATCAGATCTGGGATCCAGTCAGGACTGACAGAAACCGGCTGATGGATGGTCCAAACTGTCCCAAAGGGCGGAACGGCCTGACCCGGCCGTTGCGCGCCCACCCAATCGTCGTCCTAGGCAGAAACTCATTAACAGGATAGTTAATTCTATGAACACATGATACGAGGGATGAACTCATGCCAGTCGGTAGATATCATTTTAGGGTGCCGTGGCTTTGGGAGCATTAGAGGGCTCTGATAGGGACTGTGTTGCGGATTGGCTTTCAGCGATTGGTACGCTGGGACGTCAAAGGTTCTTTTCACACTGCTGCCAGGAGTGATACCTCCCAAGGTACGCGGCTTTTGGGAGTCGGCGTTGTATATAAGACAAACATTTCGTGTAAGCGGCGCAATATGAGCCCACCACTTGGACTGCGGCCCAAGTGTCTATGCTTTTGGCTACGACTCCGTTGCTGATTCCCTTGCAGCATCCCATTTCGCCTGCGGGTAAGGAGGCGACCGCAATGTTACCCGAGAATTGGGACCGCAGTCATTGCCCATCAGCCCATTGAGAAGGCCAGTTTGGCATCTGTGCTTCCACAGCAGGACCGCTTGGATTGCGTCCGTTCGCCACAGCGTTATATTTACGTTGGTAAATGCCACAGATGGAGAGTGCCGACATTCATCTCTAAACCCTGAAAGGCACAATACCGCCAAATCCTGACCCATCTCTGTCTCCGTCCACATCTCTGTATGCATGATCCATGCAGGGAAACCCACAAACCCAACGCCCAAGGGTACAATTGTGACGCGCCTTCGTATCAGAGGTTGTGAATGCTGTGATGGCTACAAAATCCTAGTTCTGATACAAAAGCAGAAGAGGATGCTGACAGTGCAGTTTTTGGTCCCCTGGAGCTCCACATACCTAGGAAGTGTGCCACTGCTTCCCAGCAAACTTGATCATCGAGCTAGCACCCGATTAGTCGGGGTCGGGCATGAGGCCATCGTGCCGCACATCATCACCGACCTTGCCACAACTGCATTTGTGGGTATGTGTAAGACTCTTGACTTGGCACTTGCCAGTAGTACCAGGAAGTGAAGTTTGCCCATGATCAGGCGGCGACCACTGTATGAAGTCTTTGGCTTGCAGTCATCGTCCAGAATCCACACACATACCAAGTCTTAATAAGCAAACTGCAGGCTTACCCCTTCACCCTTCCCCTCAGCACCCAATGATACCCCACGATGAAAAGGTCGCAAGTCGGCAATTTGGTGTACAATATTTTGGAGCACACGGGCGCTGTTGCTTGACCCTACAATAGCGTTGAACTGCCCAATTGTAGAATCCTGTCTTTGCCCCATTTTCCCATCCCCGCTACCGACACAGTCTACGCAACAAGTTCAGAAGTTCGCCATGAAACTGCTGCGTGCGTGCATACACTTCCTTATTGACTACTTTCTGGATGTTGCGCCACTTGTCCTTCAACTGCATGGGAGTCCTGTCCTCCAGTACACTGCTGGAGGCCTGTATGTCACTCCACCTGCTCCCGCCATACATGTCAATGCCACGTGCAAGTGCCTCCACCTCTTCATTTGTCCAGGCACGCCGAGGTCGGTTCTGCGAATGAAAACAACACAGAGATGTGTCAGCCCTGACTCCCGTCGGAGGGAAAAAAGGCGAGTCTATGAGTTCCTGTGGACCACATGTTCGCTGCAGGGAAACAGCAGCATTTGCAATCCAGGGGCATCCTGAATGCCGACCTTGCAGCCGCTCTGGTGTTAGTTAATCTGGTGTTAGTTAATCCTAAACCTCAAACCCACCCCCTCGGAAGTCTGCAAATTTCAGCAAACAGACCACAGTGACAATCCACTGTGGGAATCAGGCACTTACAGGATGACTAAAACCTTAGTACCCACAATAGTTTGTATCTCCATCGTCCATACATGCACTCAACATGAGTATTGTGATTGCATGCAGCAAGCTACATCCATGTGACATGGAACCAATGCGCACCAACAGCTAGAAGTTCTCTCCACTGAATCAGGCAATATCTGACAGTTGATGTTAGAGCTTGAACATGTGCTTAAGTTTGCAGTTGCCACCAAACGTACAACTCTGTGCCTCCAGCTGATTCTGGGCCTGGATGACTGTGCAAACTGCAACTGCGGATCAGCAATGAAATAGTACACAGATTGTCTTGTGTGTGGTGACAAGACAGTGTCAAACAAGCACTGTGGAGGTGACATGTCATTCACCACCTCGCACATGGTAGGGCTGTCCTTTGCATGCCCTGGCAGCACAGTGCCATGTTGCACCCCTAATTCCAAGTGACAAAACTGACAATACGTCCAACGACCAGCAAAACTGCACAAGCAGCTGGCAGATGAACGCACACAGGCAAGACAGCAACAAACGCATTGCAGCTGCGCATCCAGTGCGCACATTCGATTCAACACTCTCAAGCAAAAGTGCAATCATGCGAAGTTGATGAATTCTTGCAGCAAGATCAGCAACAGGCAAAACCATACCCCTGTTGCTTGAGCCAACTGGCCAGCCGCCCTCCCCACCGTGGCCAGTGGCAGTTGATGCTGTTGCTGCCCATCGCCGCTGGAAGGAGATGGAATGTCACTGCTTGTAGCTGCACAGTTTTTGTCCACCCTGTGCTCTAGTTCCTCTTGTGCAGGGTCCCTGTCAGCTGCCAGAAGGTGGACAACGATTCTGCTGCCAGGCTTCACACCCTGTCCAGCGAGAGACTTGTGATTGTCCAGAGTCACAAGGGAAGCATCACTGCCATCTGCCTTGACCAGGTGGAAGGCAGCATCCCCAGATGTCCTCTGCGCAGTGGACACAGAACATTCACCACATATACATTCAGATATTCATGCTCATACACAATATATTCATATTATGAATTCATATATTCATATATATATGGCCAGCCATTCATCGTCTCTTTTGTTCTGATTCCCAAGTTCTACATCACTTTTCAAGACAACAGGTGCAATCACTGTCCCATCAGAAAGATGTGGTGAAGCCAGCGGTTTGCATGCAGTTTGTCTCCAGTTTCAATATGGAGATTGTGGGGACAGCACAGGGGCATGCTGCTATGGTCACTGTTGCCTGACACTGCCTTGATGGCTCAAGGGTAGTGATGCACATCGCTCTGACAATTCCCATTGTGGCAAACATACTTTCTGGAGACCTTGCAGGAGACATATGCACATTGGCCAACTGTGTGTTTGGCAAATGCAAACGAGCAGGGTCTGACCCACGGGACAATTTGTTTGACATTCGTTTTCAATAGAAAGCTTTGGCTGTTATCTCCAACACTTGAGGAACATGTTCACCAGTGCAGCCGGCAAAGTGGAATCGCACATTGCATAGCACAAACTCCAACGGGCATCTTATTGCCATCAGGCAGCCTATATCTTGTTGCCATGAAGGGCTGCAACATTAAAGAATTCTCACAGGAAACAGTTGCGTTGCATTCTGGCATCGGAGATAGCTGAGAGCAAAATGAACAAGCCATCGGAGTGACAGTTCAAATGTGCTTTCTAAATATTTCAATGACCTGTTACGATCATCTGAAAAGAGGTGAGGGCCAGGGAATTGGCTGAGTACATAGCATTCAATGTCGAATGCTCAACAGCAGGTGATGGGTTGTATAACTTTCTGTAAGTTCAATCAGACAAATGCCCTACACTCCCATTCTTCCCACCTGAGGTTTCACCATCATTGCTAGTATAAACATAAACCAAAGTGACACATGGCACTGCCATGTATGCTCCAGCGCAACATAGCAGTTGTGCTCCGCTGAGGTATGCATGTAGGGGGTGTAGCTAGAATTGCTATGGTGTGCTCCACCACATGCAAAGATTGACAGCTATTTGAGCGCCAATGACGATTGATGACCAATAAACACTTCAAATATTGCACAATATGGTCCCCCTTGGAATGCCAAAGACACGCGATTCTCAGCAATTGCTCAACAAGGCTTGATGTAAACTGTTTCATTTGGACCATTTTGTGCCCAAGTAAACATGCAATCAGCCCACCTTTGGTCCTGGGAGGAAGGTGTGTAGTGCTCCCCAAGGCGTGGCATGGCACTCCACCTTGCACTGCTGGGCAGTTGCTGCCGTCAGGAGATAGACATCCATCTGCAATGAGGAAAGCACAAGTCAGTCAACTCGCACTGTGGCAAAATATATTAGCGATACACAGTGTTGTTTTGTCAGTGCAGGCCTCTAAACAGCCTTTTGCAACTGCTGGAATGGATACAGAGCTGCGTGGTGTGCACCGCTGACATTGATTTCTGTTTCTTGCTCTTCTGGAGGTGATCAGTGCCCAACATGGAGTGCAAACGATGCTAAGAAAAATATTCACGTCATTTGCCATCTGCAATTGACAACAATTTGCACCACATGTCCCCAGTTAAGTTCTCAGTTTCACATGTCAGGCAGAGGAGTCCGACCTAGATGCCTAAGCAAAAGGAGCTGCCAATGGCAGACTTGCTACATATCAAATCTGGAACACGATGAACACCATTCACAGGCCATTTCCTCCATGCTGTTTCAGTCACACAGTAGGTGATCGACTTGAAGCATCCTTAGCAGAACCAGCAAGCCCAACACAAGGCTCTCCTTTCCCACCATGATGTGACGGCTGTGTAAAGTTAGACTTGGTACGATGTTCAAACAGCACACACAAGACAGGTCGCATGATGGACTTAAAATGGCGGGCTGACTGTATCTCAACAGACAACAACAAGACTGCACACCAGCCACGGTACACATACTACTGACAACAAATAATCAGAGACCATCATTCTGCTACTCACAAAGGCAATCCAATGGCATTCAAGCAACAGGCAACCCCTGCGACCAGAGCAACGCCCAGAAGAGACACAAACAACTCAGAGCAGCTACCTTCGCATCGTCATCACACAAGTTGAAATCGGCCCCCGTTTCCAACACCACTCGACCCTTCCCTGCCTCTGCTGCAGTTGTAAGTTGTGCAGGTCCTTTATGACCACCTGACCACAACACAGATACTCAATGCCTGTCCTCCATGCTGGTTGGAGGCCATTTAGCAGAATTCAACGCAATGAGATTCACCAGGATGCAGGCTCCTCCACTGCGGTGAACGTCCAGAATGAGTGCATCATCCGTTGGACACTATCTCCATGCTCAAGGCAAAATGGCAATTTTATGAAGCAGATGCTGACCATCATCCAGAACAACAGCATTTTCAAATGTGCCCTAATGTGGCGTCCTTAACCCCACGATCAACATCTGCAGGTCAGTGCATCATGTCTCAGGCAAGTCATACTCAACAACAGCGCAATGTCTTTGGTATGTGAAATCACAGGTGCGCAAGACTAAACTGTTGCAAAATGCCACAAAATGTGTACCCCTTTCTGAGCAAGTACTTTGCCAAATTCGTTGCCTTGCAATTGATACAGAAGTCGTTGAACATAACAAGAACAGGACACAACTTATATGAAACAGTTGACAAAACTAGCTGAAAACAAAAACAATTGGAGAAAATAAACAGCCAGAAGGCTAGGTGAGTGTCCATGTCCTGTCTCTAACTCACTGGCATTTCTCCTCATGTACTTCGTGGGCGTTGATGGGTGATCAGTGGGAGCATCACCATCAGAGAGGTCACCAGTGCTTTTCCTTGTACCATCACCCTCGGGCTCTTCAGAATCAGGCGCACACAAGCGTTCAGCACTTCCCTCAGGCATGCCATCTTCAGCGCTGTCTGCGCAAACAATCGTCTCTCAGTATGTAAAAAACAATCAAATCGGAGGGTGGAGGGTGGAGGGTGCCCCAAGATAAGAATGGTTTTTCATTGAAGAAGGTGCACGGGCCACAAGAAGAACAATCAACCCCCAAAGACAACATATTTGCAGGCTTCTTTCCATGTTGCAAATATGGCACACATGTATCAATGTAGCAGGAACATGCAGCGAACAACTACCAAACCTGTGACAGTAGTTCTTTCCATTTCCACCTATCAAGCAATGTGAAAGATCTATAGCGCAATCCATACTGACTATGTTCAACAAACTGGCAAGTTACTGTGCTTGCACCTATGAGCTGATGCCAGGCACTGTTTGTATCAATAAACGCCTCTGTTGTACAGTTTCCATTACCTTGATAGAATGACAGAAAGATGATAGAAAGATATTGCAAAATGCTGCAGTTCTGATTCCTTTCACTAAACCCTGGCAAACTGGATCGGGTGGGAGATGAGTGCCCTACTCTCGTTGGTGCTTTCCTCTGCACAGAGAGGGCGCCGCCTGCGGTGGCCGGTCATGCTTCGTGTGTGTGGCCCTTCAAGACTGTCATCATTCTTGGTGCCCACGGCAATGTGCGGAACTGCACGCTTGCGCTTCCTTGAGGTTGAGGGAGGAGCTGCAGGAGAGGCTGCAGAGGGCCTGGACTGAGAAGCAGTGAAGAAAAAGTCACTGCACGATCCTCCCACTATGACAGCGTCATCGTACCTGTGAGGATGCTTTGCATGTGCATTTGGGCCATATGGTGTCAATTTCTGGTGTGTATCTCGTTTGTAGATAACGAACATATCACACATGATGCATATGGTGTACTAACAAGTTAGGTATGGAGACAGTCAGTAACAAGGGAGTGAAAAGCCATCCAAAGCATTGCATAACTGATGCAGTGCACATGTTGTAATACATCCTTTACAATCAGTCCTCTGTGCCTGGGTGCAGCTGTCAGCAAGAGTGTGACCAGTGCCCATGAGTGCCCTCCATTATCGCAATAGTATTGCTTGGGGCACAACAACAACACAGTACACTATTTTCGTGGAAGAATGCCTAGGGACATGCACATGCACCATGGTGAATATTTCATTTTCTGGAAAGGGGGCAATGACAAGGGAAGTTGACAGGGATCGTGCAATGCTGCACACATGATTGGGATACATTTTCTGGCAAGGTCTCTGACTGCCTGTTTCTGACCCAGGGAAGAGAGTGACCAGCAACAGTGCACAGTCACAATCACAGTGGTCGGTTGCCAGTGGCTTAGACAAGAGGACCAATGGGCCATGAACACTATGAATGAGGGGCAGATAAACATTTGGATGTATGCATGCTCATCATTCACCTGGTAGGTGCAAGGACCCTGTGTGTTTTCTTGCAAGTAACTTTAAACAAAAGTATTGGGCCAGACATGATCATGGAAGCTTACAACAGAAGGTGCCTTTCTGGCACCAAAAATCTGTTCCCAATGCCGCTGTTTTCCTTCACTGTTTTCTGTGCTGTCTTGAGACTGGCTTTGGATATGATATTGTCACAGGACATGCTGCTATGTCCCCTTTGTCTTTCCCTGCTCTGTCTCAAGACCTCCTGGAATATGGCAAAAGCACAGCAGATGTTGCCTTGCTATGTGGTAATCAAAAATTTTCAGCAACAAATTACCTTCTACCTGCTGCTAAGTGATACTAGCAACTTGCTGGGTTGCCAGGGAAGGGAAACGCAAAAACCAATTTGATGCTACATTCTTGCCTTGTGTTGGCTGTCCAACATGGCCAGATTGGTGAAAGGGATTTGCCTTGGTAAATAGGGAAAGAATTCATACTGCTGGCAGCCCATAGCCTGGTATCCCAACTCTTGGTGCACCCAGCGGGTGAGACTTCACATTGGACATATTCTATCAGATCATTGGTACAATCAGGTTATTCCGATTTGCTATGATTTCTGACCCCTCCCCCTCTTTTTATGAGTACCGAAGTTCTCTTTTTTGAGATGGTGAATTCATTTACCACAACCAGCCTTCTAGCATTTTACAAATGCCTTGCAATCTTTTGCAAGGTGGAACAACAAGGCCCACATCTCCTGTGACAGGGGCAGCACATGAGCTCTTGCATCCGTGTTCAATGTTTCGGAATAGAATCAACACGGGCACGTAAGTGACAAAGAACCATCGTTCATAGTGGTGCCCAGCATATGGCAGCCACCCCTTTGAGAGAAGAACAAACCCACGACATACGCATTGCCCTTACTTCTTCTTCCTGTGTGTCTTGGTCCCCATTTGCTCCAGCATTCTTGTGCCAACGGGTTCCCCTGAGGCGCTTTGGGTTCGAGCTCTGCAGTTGCACAAATAAAGAAACCATCGCTCACACATGGCAGGTCCGTGCAGACAAGTGGCCAGCAGAGATTTGCGAGGCAAACGCCATCTTATGCTGTTGATTGAGGACGGACGACTGCATCGGATGTGAAAAATGCCCGTCATCGCCTGCAGGATACAACAACCACGCTTGCTCTGTGAAGGCAAACATGCTACGAGGAATCCGGCAGCAGCGCTGTGCGATGACCAGAGGCCACCAAAACACTGAAAAATCCTACTGGCGTGTGTGAAAGGCGCAAGATATCTTCCCACAGGCCAAAAGGCGCCGCGATTTCCTATGCTTTTCGATGAATGTGACCGCTACGGACGAGTGGCGGCACCGGGCAGACCTTTGTTCAAGAATGGACCCAAGCCTTGCCCGCTAGCGAGAAGCGCAACGCTCCACAAGACTTCGCCGGAGCCCATCGCACCTTCCGCTTCATCCGCTCCGTCCTCCCCATGCCGCACAGCGCAGCCCAGGCTCTTCGACGGCGCTCAGACACAAAGTCTGGCGGCGAACGGCATTCAATTCAGAAACAAATCGGCATCGAGCACACAAGCATTGCTCGAATTCAGGAGGAAGCAACAAAGCAACGAAGGCAACAAAGCAACAAACCATCACTCGCATTCAGGAGAAAGCCGGAAGGGTCTCAACTGCTGATCGATCCCTTCGCAGCAAGGCCAACACTCTACCCCAGTGTGCTGCAATGGGAACCTCCTAGGAGTCGTGTGGGCCACAGCGGCGATGCACGAATTTGAAACGCTGCGCGGGCGTCACCAGGGGCCCCGGTCCTCCGCGCGGAATGGGATCCGAGCGAGGCGTTTGTGAGGAGGGAGCCTGCAGTTCTCGGCGGGCATATCGGGCGTTACCTTTGGGTGCGAGGACGGGGACGGCGCTCTCGCGTGTCGTCGGCCAAAGGCACGGCGGCAGAGGCAGTGGCAGCGGGCAGTGGCACTCGCTCTGGGTTGAAAGGGCGGTGTCCAGCCGAGCAACCTGTTCAGACCAGTTTCGAATGATTGATGGGTTTGTTTTGAACCTGGGGACTCGGTGCTGTGATGGCGTTACTAATGGGGGGAATGACATTAATGTCTGAATTTGTTTTGTGGGGAGCTGTCCCGCAAGAGACCCTTGTTCCGCTGTGATCGACTGGAGGAGAAGAGCACCTGTTAACCCATCAGAGTCGAAACGGTGCATGCAAGGGCAGTGTCAAATTTCGCCAAACTTTGGCAGAATTCAATTCTTTAGGAAGTCACCGCAGAAATGTAATCTGCTAGCAAGGCACATATTGCAGTCATGACTGACCGTCTGATCAGACGGTCTGACTCAGACCAGGGATGTGTTTTCTCCTAAATATGCCATGGCAATGGCATCACTGCAAAATTCATAAATGCGCGTTTCCTTCCAGACATTTCTTAGCCCATTTTATGAGTGCCATTCAGGCCGGCGGATCAGTGGCCTACATCTGCGATTTTCGGCGGAGCTTCTGCGCCCCGCGGATCTGCGACCTGCCCATCTGGTCAAACGAGGAGCCACCTATGGAAATCGCAAGGAGTGCCGATGCGAGCAGGTGCTCAACACGGCGGCGAAAGAATTCACTGATGCGGCAGCCCAGCGGGGAACGTGCACTGGTAGAAAACGCCATTTTGTGGCGCCAACTGGGATGCCATTATGACACTAAGTCGCGGCATCAAAGTGATTGCGACGGCGTAAAAGCAGCTGCGATGTCTCATCCGATGTCAATTGAGTCAATTGATGTCACATGGCTTCGCAGTGAGCATCACAAATACGCCGTTTCCTGCTGGTGGTGCTTGCACTGCTGCACTGTCGTGATTGGCGACGGCGAGGGCCGGTGCTGCCATTTGGCGTGCATTAGCCGAGCGGGGGCTGTGTGTGCTTCGAGAATGTGCCAGGCGCGCTGTCGGAGGAGATGGTACGCTTGAACGAGCTTCGCAATGTTGCACTAATATTTTGTACATTTGTACATTTTGCATATTCGCAATATTTCTTTAATGTAAGGGCGTAAGGGAGCCGCAAACGCGGGCGGCAGCCTCCAGCCGACTGTGAAGCGGACATGCGATTTTGCGGTGAATTTGAATGTTAGGTATTGTTGATTTAATTATAATAATACTGTTTAATTAGGTGATTGTTGGATGTCTGCGCGGCAGAGGGCTCGGCCCCAACCTCAGTCGTGTCTGGAAGCAGGTTCAATGCGAAGGGCGAGTTGGTGGACGCCCTTTCCCACGCGAATCCACACGTTTGAGCATGCCATTGAGAGTGTAGTTGGCAGAACACTGGACGCATCTTTGGAACTTCTCTGGGTGCAAAGCGTAATAATAGAGCGTTGCGTGTATGTTCACATACTTTTACTTTGAAAGCATACGCAATTTCCAAGCCATGTTGCAGCGGGCTGCGGAAAATACTTCGAATGCATGCGCCTGGAGTGGAAGCTTACAGATCTTCACAGACTTGTGATGCACTGCTGTCGCTGGGAAGCACATGCGCGATGAGTGGCATCCACATGTTCAAATTAGTAAAAAGTATGTCGGCAAAATAGTTTTTCACACTGCCTTGGCAGTTTTCAGTTGCCCAAATCTTGCAGCGGTGTTGCCAAGCGCATTGAACAGAACCAAAGGAGAAATTTCGATCACGTTTGACGCCATTGGGCAAGCTGGGGTTTCAATGCGGTGTTGGGGGTCAAATGGCAAAGCACGTTGTGCTTGCCACCGCCGGAAATGTGGCCACTCAAAGACTATTTTTTGGGCGTTTCGAGTTGCTTTTCTGACAGAATACGTGACGACTCACTTAGCCAAAGATCCTGGAAATTCTTTGCATGGCTTGCTTCTGACCACCATATGGGACATGAATTGGTGCTGATAATTGGCGCTCAGAGCTTGACGCTTTGATGCCTCAAGCAAGCCAAGTTCAAGATCATTCAGTCGCCAGAACTCGCTACTTACACCGCAGAAAAGATAAAGACATGCAAGGTCCTAGCATCAGAGGAACCCCGCTTGAACTCCATTCGTGAAACACCGTGCACTGAATACCACCAACAACCACCAATCTCAACCCGGAAACGCTGATTCAGCATGTCTTCAGAAGACATGTCAGACCCTCACAACATCGACCACACACGAACCACCACCAACAGCAGCCACCGCCAACTACAAACTCACCCTGAAAACCGTGAAGACATGTCATATCCTCAAAACCATAGACTGAGTCGACCATCCAAGATATGCTATCCAAGTTATGAACCACCATGCTATGGCCGCCTCCCCATCATTCGTGCAAACCTGTTGGCCGCAAGCCATGCGCCAGCTATTAAGACATCGAGGCCTAGCTCCAAAGCAGCCTCTGCCCGTCGCTCAATAGTTGCCTGTGCACGCTCGACCAGAAAAGCAAAGATATTTTTAATAAATGTCACACCATTTTGAAAGAATATAGGCCTGTGAGAGTCAAAAAAGGTAGACGTCGTAGACGCCATCTTCTTACCTGTCTCTAAGACCAAAACAATGGCTCCCACACCACCGCGGAAGAAAAATGACTTAATAGAGTCAAGAAAGGCTGACATCGTGAACGCCAAATTCTTGCCTGTCTCTGAGAACAATTTAACAATTTTCCCACCATAATGGAAGACCAGCATATTAAAAGAGTCCAAAACTCCAGATATCAGAGACGCCATCTTCGTGCCTGTCTCTGAGACCAAGGGCCCACAGGTTTTCCTGATATAGTCAAATGTCTCTATACCCGTTGCATTTAACAGTGTCTGCCCGATAGTATCCATTATATGTAAGCCGATGTACCGTCGTGGTACCCGCCATATATCGTTAGGTAACTCCAATAGTAATTTCAACTCCGTCTCTTTGTCGCTGATGCTGTTTTTGTTACCAGATGACGACGTCTCGTTTAGAAAGTTGTTGTATGTCGGATTCGGTGCAGATGCCTTTCCGAACTCAATATATGCAAATAATGCGAGCCCAAAGATAATCAAACAATATTTCCCTGATGCCCCTGATTTCCCTGATTTTTCTGATTTCCTCGATTTCCCTGATTTTCCTGATTTTCCTGATTTTCTTGATTTCCCTGATTTTCTTGTTTTCCCAGATTTTCTTGATTTCCCTGATTTCCCTGGTGCTCCTAATTTCCCTGATAGTCCTGATTTCCCTTTCATGTATTGTGTAATTATCTCATTATTTCTCGCAAGCTCTCGCCTCATGATGTTCAAATTCGGAGGACGGGAATCATCCAGCCGTGCAACCGCAGTGGTCCGCGAAGTCATAGGACAGACCGCCAAATGAACCCTGCAAAGAAGTTGCAGAAAAACGGTGTGAAATGTATCCAAGGCCTCCCCAACACTAGGAACAAAAGGGCCAAATATCGCATGTTCAAACGTGTACAAAGTTTACGGGTTTTGGGATATTTTCGTGTTTTTAGCATGCGGACCACAGACGAAATGCATATATATGTGCTCGCAAAAAGTGTTATTTAATCCTTTTTGCCAGTGCAAACTTGCGTAGCACAACCGGGGAAACAACGTTGGAGATGGCAGACTCTTCTGGACCAGAAAATGTGCTCCCGGCACAGTGACGATTCACACAGTCCGTCCGCTAGAGTCAAGTACGTTTGGCAGAAAAGATGAGACAACTTTGGTACGATAACCGCTGGCTCGTCGAAGTATGCTGGACAGAGGAACCCAGCATTTAGGTGTTGCACTACTGTACTTTTATTCAAGGCGGAAGAGGCACTGCAACTGGGGAATAGAGGACCTTGTGGAACGGGGGAGACATGTCTCCCTCTATACAGAGGGATTCGTTTGTCATCCCATTGAGAGGATGATGATACGCTGCAATCGAATACCTCTTGCGTGGAATGAGTGGCCTTGGCAGCCACAGCTCGGGCCACACACGCGTAAACTACTGTCCCCACACGCCGTTACCCAG